GGGAACCTTTGTGCTCCGTGTTGGACTTGGGAGAGACAGGGCCAATGTGTGCTTTGTTTCTCCAATCCCTAGGAGCATCTTCTGTCTGTAGGATAAGCTTACAGAAGGAGTGGGTGTTGCAGAAGTCCCTTTTTGCATGGGTGCAGGTGCTCTCTGGCTGCATGTGAGACCTGGATGTGGAAGAGGTACATCAGTGGCTGTAGCTGTCGCTTTGCCGAAATCTGTGAGTGCAGATGTGTTAGAATTCCTGCTCATGTTGGGGAGATCCCTTTGTCCATGCTTATGGGCACCTTGTGCCTGCACTATCTTATGTGGCCTGTGTGGGTTAAAGATATTTTAGAGGTGGGGCTCTCTTTTGGCTATGAGGTTGGGCACCTTCTGGGTGTCTTTGGGATGAGGATAATACTGCAGAAAGGTTGGGTGTTACAGATGTTCCTTTCTCCTTGGGTGCAGGTACCATCCTGCTGCATGAGAGGCCTGGCTGTGGAAGACTTACATGAGTGGCTGTAGCTCTCGCTTTGCTTTGGTCACCTTCTCCTAGGCTGTTGTAGGACGTGTGAGAGATGCTGTGGATGCTGCAGAGCTCCATTGTCCATGGCTATGGGCAGCTTCTGGCTGCCAGTGTTGCCTGCATGGGGAACAGATGCTTGAGGTGGCAGGACCCTCCTGTGGCCATGAATATTGACAGCTCTTCCTGTGTGTAGGATGAGGAAGGGGCAGGGATAGGTGGGTGTTTTGTAGCCTCTGAGTCTTTGCTCTCTCGTCTCCTCCTGTGCCAGTGTGGGCAGCTGCAGCTTTCCATAGGGGTCTGTTGTGAAGGTTGTGGCTATGTCCTTTGTGATGTGGTCTGGGTGTGCTGGAATTGACGCTGCCATGCCATCAGGAGTGCTGCTGCCAGCATCTGTTTTGGGAACTTCCAGTGGGAGAGGGATTTAAGTTTTCCCTTGTACATCCTTTTGTGAAGCTCCTTGCAAGCCCAGGTTGGGGTAGATGCTAGGACTCCTTACCTGTGCTACAGAGCACTGAGAGCTGCCTGGCAGACTGTTGGGTTGGGAGCATGCAAGAGCCCTGGTCTGGTTGCATCCCTGTCCTGGAGCCTGTGTGGAATTGTCCAGTGCAGCTGCACAGGACAAAAGAGGCTGCATTGCTGTAGGCAGCGGTGCCGTTGCTGTGTCCTTCCCCTTCATGGCCTCTGCTCTCAGCCTTCCCTCTGGTGCCTCCGCTCCTGCAGGTCTGGTCTGGTGCAGCCCTTTTTGTACTGGTTTTGGGTGTACGATGAGCATTCTGTTGCCTGTTCCATTGCCATGAGAAGAGCAGGAGTGGTGCTGGAGGTCGTTTTCTCTGTGGCTGTGGGAACCTTTGTGCTCTGTGTTGGACTTAGATGAGGGACAGGTAGAATGGGTGCTTTGTATCTCCAATCTCGTGGAGCATCTTCTGTCTGTAGGATGAGGATGAGCTTACAGAAGGAGTGGGTGTTGCAGAAGTCCCTTTCTGCATGGGTGCAGGTGCTGTCTGGCTGCGTGTGAGACCTGGATATGGAAGGGGTACATCAGTGGCTGTAGCTCTCGCTTTGCCCAAGGCTGTGAGGGGGGATGTGTTAGAGACCCTGTGGATGCTGAGGAGATCCCATTGTCCATGCTTACAGGCACTTTGTGGCTGCCCTATCTCATGTGGCCTGTGTGGGTTAAAGATATTTTAGGTGGTGCAGCTCTCCTTTGGCCATGAGTGTGGGCACCTTCGGGGTGTCTTTGGGATGAGGCCGAGATTATAGGAAGGTTGGGTGTTACGGATGTCTTTTTCTCCTTGGGTGCAGGTACCATCCTGCTGCATGAGAGGCCTGGCTGTGGAAGACTTACATGAGTGGCTGTAGCTCTCGCTTTGCTTTGGGCACCTTCTCTTGGAGCCTTGCAGGAGGACGTGTGAGAGATGCTGTGGATGCTGTGAAGCTCCCATTGTCCGTGGCTGCGGGCGCTTTCTGGCTGCCAGTGTTGCCTGGGTGGGGAACAGGGTGGTAGCAGTCTCCTTTGGCCATGAGCATTGGCACTTCTTGTCTGTGTGCTGAGGACGGGGCAGAGGTGCTGTGGGTGTGTGGCAGCCTCTGAGGCTTTGCTGTCTCGTCTGCCAGTCTGCACTGGTGCCTCTTTTTTATAGGGGTCTGGGGCTGACTGTGTCACGAGCCCCATTGTGACGTGGAGTCTGCGGGTTGACATGACATGGAGCTGTGGGTCGGCTGTGATGGGTGCTGTGACATGAGGAGTGCTGGTGCCAGGATCTGTTTTGTGGACTTCCAACGGGAGAGGATTTTATAGTTTCCCTTTGCACATTCCTTTCGGAAGCTCCTTGAAACCCAGGATGTGGTAGCTGCAAAGGACAAATGAGGCTGCATTGCTGTGGGCAGCTGCACTGTTGCTGTGGCCTTCCTGTGCATGGCCTCTGCTCTCAGTGCCCCCCTCTGGTGCCTCCGCTGCTGCCAGTCTGGGCTGATGCAGCCCTTTTTGTACCTGTTTGAGGCCTACGATGAGCATTCTGTTGCCTATTCCTTGGCCATGAGAAGAGCAGGAGTGGTGCGAGGGTCTCTTTTGCTGTCCAGATCCTCATCTCCCCAACTGTTCTTTTCAGCCTCCTGTGAACCAGAATAGTTCCAGATATGTTGCTGTAGCAGCGCTGCTGTTGCCAGTGTCTTTGGGCACCTTCTTTCTGGGAGTAGGACTACAACAGGGTATGGGCAGTGTGGATGTTGTGGAGCTGTCGGTGACAGTGGCTGTGGGCACCTTTGAGGTTTTCCTGGGACCTGAGTATGGGAGAGATCCAGTGGGTGCTGTATCTCTGCATGTGCCAAAGGGCTGTGGTGAGCTTCTGGCTGTGTGTAGGCTGAGGACAGTGCAGAAGTGCTGTGGGTGTGTGGGAGCCTCTGAATCTTTGCTCTCTCGTCTCCTCCTCTGCTGTTTGCACTGGTGCATCCTTTTTATAGGGGTCTGGGGCTGACTGTGTCATGAGCCCCATTGTGACATGGAGTATTATGAGCTGTGGGTTGGCTGTGACGGTGCCATGCCATCACGAGTGCAGCTGCCAGGATCCCTTTGGGAACTTCCAGTGGGAGAGGATTTTATAGTTTCCCTTTGCACATTCCTTTCGGAAGTGCCTTGAAACCCAGGATGGGGTAGAGAGCAGGAGTGTTTTACCTGTGCTGCAGGGCCCTGAGAGCTGCCTGGCAGACTGTTGGGTTGGAAACGTGCAGGAGCCCTGGTCTGGTTGCATCCCTATCCTGGAGCCTGTGTGGAATTATCCGGCCCCGCTGCAAAGGACAAATGAGGCTGCATTGCTGTGGGGACCCCCAATGCCTTGCCCTCCACCCTTATGTAAATTGACACAGCTTAATCACACATAATGTGACACAGGCACTGAAATGAAAATGTACTGTTTGTCCAGAGGAGGCCACGGAGCTGCTGCGAGGGCTGGAGCAGCTCTGCTCTGGATCCAGGCTGAGAGAGCTGGGCTGGTTCACCCTGGAGAAGAGAAAGCTCCTTAAGGGGAGACCTGAGAGCAGCTCCAGTGCCTAAAGGGGCTGCAGGAAAGCTGGAGAGGGGCTTGGGACAAGGGCCTGTAGGGACAGGCCAAGGGGAATGGCTTTAAGCTGCCAGAGGGGAGACTGAGATGAGCTCTTAGGCAGAAGCTCTTCCCTTGGAGGGTGCAGAGAAGCTGTGGCTGCCCCATCCCTGGCAGTGTTCAAGGCCAGGTTGGACACAGGGGCTTGGAGCAAGCTGCTCTAGTGGGAGGTGGCAGGGATTGGGGCTGGATGAGCTTTAAGGTCCCTTCCAACCAGTCTGGGATTCTTTGAAATCCTTAAAAAGAATGGCTGGGTTTGGGTGAGGAAATGCTGTTACCTCTGGGATCTGTGAGAAGAGGAGCTCAGTAAAGTCTAAAGAAATTTGACAGCAGCAGGTCATCCTTGCTGATGGTTTTGGAGGTTGTCTTTAATACCTTTGGCATAGAAGACATGTTCCGTTGGCCCAGCCTGCCTGTACAAGTGCCTGGCTGTGCTGATCCTCTTTCAGTTTGAAGTGCAAGGTGTGCGTTTGTCTGTCTGTGAACTAAAGCCAAGTTTTTCCGTGACTTCCCTGTGCTTTGCACATCTGTTTGTCAGTAGAAGATAACACCTGCATTATCTTCCAGCTGCTTGGTTCAGCGCAGACTCTTACATCCTCTAATTGAACCGGTGCCAGGCAGGACATGCAATGGGAGCGCAGGAGTTTCCATCCGGACATCAGGAAACTCTTTTTCACCATGCGGGTCACCCGCACTGTTACGGGTTAAACATAGAGGATGTGGAGTCTGCCTCTTTTGAGATCCTAAGAACTCATCTGGATAGGACCCTGCGCAAGCAGCTCTGGGTGGCCCTGCTTGAGCGGGGATTGGACAAGAAGACTTCCAGAGGTGCTTCCAGCTTCTTCCTGGTTTTGACTGTGAAATGCTTTGGGGACTGGAAACCCTCAACAGATCCAGTAAGCCCAGAGGGAGAAGATACAGCTACTGTCATCAAACAACTTCAGTAGAATTAGTAATGTGTTGACTTTTGATTCCTAAATACAACATTTTGTGCTCCAAGTGGTGAGATCATGTGTGTCTGTGTTTCTGTAGTCCCTTTTTGAGTTTATTCCTCATGATGTTGATAATACCAGGTATTAAAAACCACCTGTGTTGTATCTTCAGGGAAGAGAATTTGGGATTGAGCCTGTGACTCAAACTGAAAGAGGGGAAGTTCAGGTTAGATAAAAGGCAGAAGTTCTTTACTGTGCAGGTGCTGAGGTGCTGGCACAGGGTGCCCAGAGAAGCTGTGGCTTCAAGGCCAGGTTGGACAGAGCCTTGGGTGCCATGGTCTAGTGTGAGGTGTCCCTGCCCGTGGCAGGGGGTTGGAACTGGATGATCTTAAGGTCCTTTCCAACCGAGGCCAGTCTGGGATTCTGTGATTCTCTGATGTATCTTGATTTGGTCTCTTCCAGCGTTCGTCACTCTGCTGAATGGAGAGCAGGCACAAAACGCCATTGGGAAGTATCACCAGTATTCTCTTCGGGGAAAAGAGATATCAGTGCAACTGCAGCCGACAGATGCTTTGCTGTGCATTACCAATTTACCCACTTCGTTTACCTTGGAAGAGTGTGAAGAACTTGTGCATGAGTATGGCAGTGTTGAGAGGTGTTTCTTGGTCTATAACGAAGTTACTGGCCATTCCAAGGGCTACGGCTTTGTGGAATACATGAAGAAGGACTCCGCTGCCAAGGCCAGGCTGGAACTTCTGGGGAAGCAGTTGGAGGAGAGCACTCTCTTTGCACAGTGGATGGACGTGAACCAGCTCACCCCAAATCTTATTCACTCTAAGTGCCTTTGTGTGGAGACATTTCAGAAAGACTGTGCTGACTCCAAAGAACTGATCCAAGCTTTCTCCCTGCAGTATAAACCTGTGTTCTGCCAGGTATGTTCAATTTGTATCTTCTGGAAGGTCAGGGTTGTGATTTAAGTAGCTCTGTATTTCTGTGATTCCCTGCTTGCTTCCTAATACTTGTGTTTTTCATGTAAGTAGTGAATGGTTCTGCATCTGCAGTGTGATGTATGCTGTGGTACAGCTGCTTTCTTGGTGCTTGTTTGCAGTGGTGCTGGGTGTTAGCTGGGGATTGTGCAGAAGACTCCTGTGAGCACCAGTAAAATGTTTGTAGGACATCCCCTTCCTCGTGCTTTGGATTGAAAGCCAATTTAGAAATATTTCAGAGAGCCTTTGAAGTGCGCATGGCTGTTGGTTTTATTGCTCAGTAAAGAAAGCAAGCCTGTGAGTCTATGAGTACCACAAGTGCAGCAGTTTAGATGGTGGAGAAGATATATATAAACACACATATGTGTGTGTGTGTGTAATTCATATATTTAAGAAATGTCTGCAAACATCAGATGTTGTTTTTCCCTAACTGAATAAGATGTAGCTTGGGATCTAGATGTTACTGTCAGTTGCAGTATCTGTAATCTCCAAGGAGCTCGTTCAGATCTCCTGGAGTTGCCTTACTGCTGTCAAGGAAAGCCTGGGTGAAAAACGTCCTTTTTGTTTCTTAGTTTTCTTTTTCTTAAGGAGCTGGAGTGACAGAGCAGAATGTTTGCAGTCTCGTTCTCATGGAGCTGCCTGTTTCTGTTGGAGATTTCTTTTGCCTTTCAAAATATCCATCAGTCGACGGGATTGCCTTTGAAATTTGAAATGTTTTCATTTATTTGTGGGGGGAAAAAGTATTGTAATGTTTACTTTGTAAGAGCTGCAAAGCAAAGTCCTTTAAATAAAGGCTGTCTCCTTAAAATAAGCCCCATCCATGGGTGCCCCTCCCTCGTTCTGTCTGCTGAAGCGCTCTGAAACTTTTCCTGTCAGTAAGATTTTTCTGGAGTGTTTCTGTCAGTGGAGGCAAAGTCTACATTTATCTTTGTAGAACCTTTGGGTTCTATTGCCCTGTCTGTAAGAGAGGTGATAAAGTGCGGAGGGAAAACGCTGAAAGCCTTGCATATTCTGTAACCAAACTCGATGTCAGAGAAGATGGTTTAAGCACTGTCCTTTGTTCTCCTTCGGCAGAAAGAAAGAGTGGAGACTGTGTGGTTGTTAAACACACACACATGTTAACAAGTCCTAATAGAACCATTTTCTAAGTCCCTGTGGCAGGCAGTTGGAATTGGATGAGCTTTCAGTTCCTTCCACCACGAGGCAGTCTGGGGTTCTGTGATTTGGGTTTGTTTCATTGACACCTCTGTCTGTGCTGAGTTTTAATTCTCAGTGTGGCAGACCTTCTTCCAGTGTATGCTCAGATTTAACCCTCTTCAGTGCCCAGTACATAAGGAAGTTTGTGCCAGGTTGTTTGAAAGGATTTTTCTGTGGTTTTGAAGTTGGAGTCATGTTTCTGTTCTTTGACTGATGTCGCTCCCTGACGTGCTCAGTTACAACTCGAGTAGGTAGCAGCAGCCCTAAAGTACTTGTCTGGGTTAAGATGCTTGCACAAATGCTGTGATTTGGGAAAGGGCAGAGAGATTCGGTTCTTCGTAACAAGGGCTTTATCTCCCATAGTGAGTGTTGCTCTATGGAAACGGTTGAGAGAAGGTAGCCGCTCTCCAGCCTTGCTGCAGCAGCTCTAACAAACTGCAGCCATTCACAGCCCCTACAGGAGGGGAAATTCTCACCTGACAGAAACTGAAAATGCGATTGCTATTTTTATTCTGTCATTTTGGGTAAAAGCCTGGGGTTTTAGTTATATCCTTGCAACTTAAATGCCAACTTTCTGGCAGCCAGACGTGTATTGTTTGAGCATTATGAAAGGACAGAGAAAATCTTGTGTTTGAACATTGATGTGGCATTTGAAATTCATTCTAGTGCCATGTTTTATGAGTCACACACGTATGCTGGAAAAGTGGGTTTGGCTATTTCTAGGCATTACAGTGCTGTCTAACTCTCTGATACCTGCCTGCCTTAGTACTCCAGATGGGTGGTTCTGCTTTGTGGTGTTTCTTCTTGTCGGTTCTCAGAAGCAAAGTGTTCCAGGCAGAGCTGGGAGATGGGATGAGAAGTCTGCATGTGACCAGAGCTGGCCCTTCCCTTGCAGGGGGGTGAATCTGGGTTGGACAAGTGAGGCAGATGGGGATCTCTAACTTGCTCTGTGGTTGTATATGCTGAGTGATTCCATGTTGGTGCTTCCTTGTGTGTTATGTTCTGAAAATCTTGAGCAGGATAATCCAGCAGGGAGGAGGTGACAGTACTTGTAGGGAGCTGGATGGTCAGGATCATTTCAAGGGCTGCTTGTGGTGCCTGCTGCCTTTAGTTCTCATTTGGGTCTGCTTTGGAGACCTGGGACCACTAGGCAAGCCCTGGGGGTGCCTGGAAGCCCCTTAAGGGGAACTGGGAGCATGCCAGAGCCTTGTGAAGGCAACGAGGTAACCCCTGGGGGATACTGGGAACCCCTGGGGGATACTGGGAACCTGTGTGGGTCAACTGGGAGTAACAGGGAGCCCCTCAAAAGACTCTGGGAGTAATTAGGACCCCCAAAATGTTCTGAGAACCTTTCTGGGGGAAACTGAGAGTCACTGGGACTGCGCTTTGTTGTTTCAGAAGATGGTTTTTACACAACTTTGACCAGTGGGAGCGCATCCTGGGGAATTTTTGCCATGGGGAACGCCGAGACTCCATTGGACTGATTTTGGTGCTCAGGCACTGGACAGGAATGGGGAATAGTGCAGGGGTGAGGATTTCAGTGTCAGCGCCACTGCCAGCCCCTGCCCCCAGTAAGAATGGGAAACCCAAAGACTTGAGAGTGATAGAGTTTATTGACTGACGTCCAGGGGTGTAGTACTGATAACCCCAGTACTTACCAATAACGTGTGATGGTATAATAAGAATAAATAATAATAACAGCTGGAGGTCAACGTAATACTAATCTTAATAAGAAGAATTCTGTCTAACATACATTAATCCTATTACTATCTCCTAAGGTATACCTAAATCCTATCGCTACTAATAACAACAACTAACAATAACAACACCTAAAGAATAATGTAAAACTGAGCTAGACTAACAGGAACAATAGCATCAACAAGAATAACAATAAGAAGAACTAGGGAAATAAGGATGGGAGGGGACCTAAGACTACCGGGGGGCTGCTGCCCTCAGGTGGTATTTCAGTGGTGGTGGAGGAGCTCAGCCCAGGAGTGGGGTGTTTTTTCTGGCGGCGGTGGATCTTGAGATGGGAGTTCCTGCCCCGAGTGGTGTTAAAGAGCCTGGAAATTCGAAAACACGCAGGGATTTGTAATTCCTCTTGACAATTCCCCCATCAGCCTGAAGCCAAGCTGCCGAGTTTCTGTTGCTGGGGATTTGGGCAGGTCAGCGTTTAAACAAAGCGCATGGAGGGGGTGGAAGGTGGCTGGGAAGGCATGGGAAGGGCGAGGGGAATCCTGAGCTCCACCTCCCCACTCCGGAAGTTTCCATTTTATCCCAAATCAGCTCGTTTCCAGAAGAAGCTAAATCCAGAGTCACCTGTGGCATTCGGGGCAGGAAAATCCACTCCCGTCACTGCCGCCGCTGGGCTGGTGTGGAGCCTGGCGCCGGTTCTGCCCCTTTGGTGGTAGGTTCTGATGGGGCAGAACACGGCGCCTCGTCCTGGGGCTGCAAACGGTCTGTAAACCAGAGAGAGTTTATTGCTATATTCCTTCTTGTTCTTTCTCTTCCCAACAGGTGGAGAGCTGAAGGGGAAATGGATCTTCAAATCTCTGGGAAGGGCCCGTGCACATGGGACCGTGTTCCATCCAGCACAAACGCAGCTGTCAAGCCGAGCCTGCCCTGGTGAGATCCTCTGAACACCAGTGAGCCCAAATGCTTTAATGGGATGGTGAGGACAGGCACCTCAGCAGAAAATTGGGGTAATTTTGAGCGGCGGGAGTGGAGTCGCCCTTTGCTGCCCCAAAGTTGCAAGTGGGGAATAACTGAGCACCTTGTGTTCAGGCTCCTCCAGCTCCTCTAGCAGCCTTTTGGTCTTTCCTCCCCTGATCACAACGGTTTTGTGGCCGAGTCTGATCTTCTTCTTCCAGGTAAAATAATATTCCACGCACTGCGCTACGGTCTTAGTTGGAATCTGTTGTGAGCAGAAGAGAAGCAGTCTGTGAGGGCGATGGCGGAGGCAAACCCTGAAGGCACACACGTACAACAAATGCATCCAGCGGCTTTACCTCCTGCTGCAGTTTGTGGAAATCGGTCTTGTGTTTGCGGAAGGCGATGTCAAAGAGCTGCTGCTCCAGGGGGGTCCACGTGTCCATACCTGGGAAGGATCCCCAAGGTGTGAAAGAGGAGATGAGCGCAGGCAGAGAGATGTCGGCACAGCTCCTCAGTGCCCTATTGACATCTCTGCTCCTTCAGAGAGCAGCTGTGCAAGGCCAGAGCCCCACGCTGGAGGTTACCTGTATAATGGTAGCCAGCCAGCGGATGGTGTTGATTTGGCTGGGGACCCCCCTGGCGCAGCAGCTCCAGAGCCTCCTGTGGAAGTGAGTGGAAAAAGACATTGCTCAGCCCGGGCAGCGCTTGGTGAGAGCGCTCCAGGATCTCCTGGGCTGCGGGAAGGTGTGGGAATGATTCCGATGCCGAGGCAGGTCCATGCTCCACCGGCCCTTAACGCGGCTGTGGCACCAAGAACCGGTCCCTTGAGCTAAGAGCCCAGATTGCAGCGCATGGAGCAGAGAGCTGGGAGCGCCTCCAGCTCGCCCCAGGGACACAAAGGCCGTCCCAGAGCGTTGTTAATGACGCCCCAAGAGCCGCTCTTACCAGGACGTTGCCGCGCGCCTCGTGCAGGCAGTGCATTGCACGCTCTAAGGTGGTCTTGGCGCGCGGCACGTCGCTGGACCTCGCTAGGTTGAGGAGCTCGGTCACTGCAAGCAGAGCGGGAAGAGAAAGTCAAGGTTCTGTGCAAACAAGGGGGTGACGGGAGGAACATCTCGGGGGTTCTTTGGAAGAAAAGCGTTAAAGAAACCTCGATCCGGTGTTGACGGGTCCCAGACGAGCCAGGCTTTGTCCTCTTCCTCCTCCATTGGCAAGCGGGAGGGATCCCGAAACTCTGGGATCTCTGCCTGATACTGGGCGCCGATGTTAATGTGCCTGCAGTAAGGAGAAAGAGGAGGTGAGGAAGGCGAGAGGTGAAGAGATGCATCACTGTCCTCAAACCCTGAGCGGAGGCAGGAGCTTCGCTTTGAGCCTAAGAGTGAGCGGGGAAAGAAGAGCTGAGGCCACGAGCGTGGATGGAAAAGGACATCTGGGAATGGTTTTTGCAGTGCTGGGCTCGGGACCAAAGCTGGGATTGCACCGCAACGGCCCCGGGTGTTTGGAGGCAACGTCATTGTGGCCGGTGGGCATCGAGAGCCCTGCCCGGCCCGTGGCACTTGCAGCGACCACACGCTGACCCCACAGCAGCGGTTCCCTCAGCGCCCCTTTCCCTAAGGTTTGTGATATTCCTGGTGCGGTCCAATCACTCACGGCCCAGTGCTGGTGACATCTTCCATCAGGCAGAGCCCAGAGTCTCCGGAGTCCATCCCACCTGGAAGAGAGGAAAACCCGCTCAACATTGCAGTCCTTCTGCCAAGACGGGCCTTCAGCCTTCAGCACATCCTCACCACTGCAAATCACCAGCTGCCACCCCAAATTTCCCTCCTTTCACCCTTTGTGCTTGGAAGCTTCAGGAGATGGACCCCGCGGATGTCCCCCCCTCGGGGGACACGACCACAGGTCTGTGGAGCCCCCTCCCGTCCTACTACCCGTTGAGCGCAGGCATGAGGGTTTTCGTACCTAACACCGCCCCAAAGAGCTGGATGGAATCGCTCGTGGCTTTGGAGGAGGAAGAGGAAGGCTGTTCTTATGGTCACTGGGGCTCTTTCTCACACAGGACACCTAGACAAAACAAATCCAAATAAACCATTGAATCCCTGCTCATGGCAGGAAAGGAGTGGAACAACTTGGAGGTGCCTGCGAACACAGAGAAGCAAGCTTGGGATGGCCTCTGAGTGCTGGAAGCATAATAAACCCAGTCGATTCTTTCCTGTGAGGGTGGTGAGGCACTGGAATGGGTTGCCCAGGGAAGCTGTGAATGCTCCATCCCCGGCGGTGTTCAAGGGCAGGTTGGACAGAGCCTCGCGTGACCTGGTTTAGTGTGAGTTGTCCCTGCCCATGGCAGGGGACTTGGAACTGGATGAGCTTAAGGTCCTTTCCAACCCTATTCTATGACTCTATGAAATTCTAAAATGGCCTAGGAATTCCTCAAGTGGCACTGGAAAAGTCCAAGTGCCCAGGAAAATGCCATGTTTTTCCCTAGGTTTCGTGCCCATCCTGCATCCTTGTGTCCATGCACCCAGTGTCACCTTTCTCAGCGCCTCCGTTACTGTAGAAAGTACCAGCAAGTCCCTGTCAGTGGGTGATTTGGGTGTGATTTGGGGGATTGGGGATCATGGAACGGTTTGGGTTGGAAGGGACCTTAGAGCTCATCCAGTTGCAAGCAGGAGGCAGGGACACCTTCCACTAGTGCAGGGATGGGGCAGGCCCAGCTTCTGCGTTCAACCCGTTTTGGTGTCCCGCCAGCCTCCCAGGGAAGAACTTCTGCCTCAGGTTTCACCTCAGTCTCCCCTCTGGCAGGTTAAAGCCATTCCCCCCTGTCCCCTCCCCACAGGCCCTTGCTCTCCCTAAAAGAGTCAAGGCAGATGCCAGGCTTTCAGGCCCCGGAGCTCTTGGCTGCGGCTGAGCCAGCGGCACTTGCACGGCGCTGACCATTGCAGTGGCTCCGGTGAGGCTGCTTGAGGTGTTCTGGGTCATTCCTGTAACCCCCGAAGGATGGGATGGGCACCCACCTCTTTCTGCTCTCTCGCAGGGCAGCTTCTCTTGTCTCTCGCCCTGGCAGCTTGTGCTCTGCAGGGCATTTATAGTCTCCCGTTGCCAGGTGACGGGTTCTGTTGTGTTCCATTGGGTTCCGTTGGGTTCCGCGAGAGTTCGGTTCCGTTGGGTTCTATGGGGTTTCATGGGGGTTCCATGAGGTTCCATAGAGCTTCCGTGAGAGTTCCCCTGGGTTCTATGGAGGTTCAATGGGGTTCTGTGGGGGTTCCGCTGGGTTCCGTGTGCTCGAGCACTCGGACATGGTGAACGCTGATGCACAAACTTTAAGTCCTTTCCCGTTGGTTCCCCATGAATGGGGATGACAAGCACTGCTGCAGCAAGTAAAGCTCCTCTGAGCACGATGGGAGCTAGCGAGAGCCCCGAACAGGAATCTTGCTCACACTGACTCCTTACTCTTGGTTTTCCATCCCACGGTGCTCAGGTGCAGGAATAATCAGCGAAGGATTGTGGGTCCCTTTTCCTGCTGCTCCTCCTTGCCCTGTGGGCAGCGCTATGGGAAGAGCTGAGGTTCTCCAGCCCTCTCTGGGTGGAGAAGAGCTGACGCAGCTCTCGCCCAGAGCTGCTGCTGCCATCGGGACCAAGGAGAGGGGCTGCTGGTGAGGGAGGAACCAGGGAAAGGGGGAGCAAATGAACACGCTGAAGCCAAAGGCTGCCTAAAGGCAGGATTTAATCCGAGCGGTCCCAGGAGTTCCAGCTCCCAGGTCCCCATGGTCCCCATGCATCCCACTGTGTCCCCATGTGCCCCACTATGTCCGCAAGCGTCCCACTGTGTCCCCACGTGCCACACCATGTCCCCATGGTCCCATTGTCCCTGTGCTCATCATGGGTGATACCTGAGATGCCGTTTGGAGAGCTGGGAGCAATAGGGAGCCCCTGGGGGATACTGGGAACCCCTGAGGGCAACCCAAAACCTGTGGGGTTCAACTTGGCGCAACTTGGAGCCCTTCGAGAGCCTCTGGGTGTAACTGGGAACCCCCAGATGTACTGAGAAGCTTTCTGGGGGCAACTGAGAGTAACTGGGAACCCCCTGAGAATCTCTGGGTGCCACTGGAAAGCCCTGAATGCAACCCAGAACCCTTCTGGGGGCAACTGGGATTAAGTGAGAACCCTTCTAAGGGACCCTGAGGGCAAGTGGAGTAGTTGGGAACACCTCGAGAGCCTTTGGGAGTCCCTGGAAGCTCCTGGGTGTAACTGGAAATCTCTTTGGATGCTGTCCTTGGTGACGCTTTGGGTTTCTTTACATGAAATCCTTTTAAATGTTTGTCTAAGGCTAGAAATCACAGCAGTTTACAATATTTGTGTCTTTTGCAGTTTGAAAACTGAGGCAAAAGATGAGTAGGGGTGATCATGGTGGTCTAGAGAAAGAATGAGGCTGTATAAAGAGTAGACAGTAAACATCACCTTCATTTTTTCCTGTTGGTTTCTTCCTTGTTGGGACAGAGCAGTAACTTCATAGCTTGATGCCTTGCCATATACAGTTAAATGTATCCGTGCTGCTTCACTGTCATCCTCTTCCCGTTCCTTCTCCCTGAAATGGGTAATGTGAAAACCAAGTTAAAGGCAGGGTTTTAGGATCTGTATTTGTAAATCTACAAATCAGATTTGTCTGCATCTTCACTGCACCTCCTTAAAAGCCACCAAGCTCCAGTCCAGTAAACAGAGTTGGTTTTATATGCTAAGGGGCTGCCAACAGCCTCTGCTTTGCGTAGCCCAGCTGTGCCATTCGCTATCTTCTTTTTCTCAGCATTTTCCTTCCCAGATTCAGAGATAAAATGATTTAGAAGAGTATTTTAAGAAGCAGCAAGTCAAAGGTGTCTCCTCTGCCATTAACATAAGGCTCACAGAGGTGCACAACAGCACACCAGGGGATTTGAGGACGAGCTGATCATTGTGCATCCTTCAGGGATGAGAGGTAGCTTGGTCTGGCCGTGCCATCCCAGTGCTGCAGGAAGCACAAGTTGAGAGGTTGGATGTTAGAAACCTGGTGACAGAGATTCCCTCATCACTGGGTCCAGCCTCAGTCTCCTGCACACCACCACATAGCAGAACCACTTCCTAACCTGCCCTAATCAATATCCTTGTCCTCTATTTTGGGACTGAAATTCGTAATCACTGTGTCTGACCACAAGCAGTGGGGAATGTTTAGGAGGAGGAGAACCGCTGCAGTCTCGTTTTTAACAGTGTGCAGCTCAAGGGCTCTGTGAAAGAGAGAGAAGTGCCCACTAACCTGGATTTTAACCACCTCCCCATTGCTAATGCCTCGGATCATCACCTCAGTTGTATGTCTAAAACGCATTTTGCTGGAGCTAGCTGTGGAGGTGGCATTTTAGTATTTGTGCAGTGTAGAAGAGCAAGCTTTGTTACATATGTCTGGATGAGGTATTTCTTCCGGGCTGCACTTTACCCAGTGCAGCCCAGTTTTCTGCAGTCTGAAGAAATTACCATGGTACTTAGAAAGGAAGAGAAGCTCTGAGAATGCCCCCTTCTCTGTCAGATGAAGGGCAGGACTGTATGCCTTCTTCATATCTTGTTGTTCTTTTCTGTTTTATCTAGTGACACCTTGTTCATATTTTCTCTTCCCTAAAGCATTAGCCATGAATCTTGTAGCTGTTGGACCGACCCGATGACATGCTGAACCACACTGATGGAATCTTGTTCTTTCTCTTTCCTTGACCTTTCCACCTCCTTCCTCCATGCATTCAGCCTCTCATAAGAAAAACCAAAAGCTACTCATATTTATGTTTTCCAGCATGTGTCATGGAAAATGTGTAATTGTATCTTCCCTATTCAAAGAAATCTTTTTCTTCAGACATTTTTCTCACCGTAGATTTAATTCACTGACTTTCTCTCCATTTCATAGCCTTCAAAAGTGTGCTTAAGACACGCAGAGACTAAAATTACCATATTTTGTACAATTCTCATTGCGTTTAGATTGGTTATCCTAATGGAGATGTGCTATTTTCAAAAATCTGCTGTCTCTCTGGTTTTTTAGTGCATTTTGTATACTGCTGATGCCTTTTAGGTCTTGCACATTCTGTTTTCATTGTATTTGTTTCTGTATGAGTGTGAAACACTATCTCATGGTTTGGGGTGCTTAAACCAAACTCCCAAAGGACTGTGTTCTTGGCAAATATTAGTACACAGCAATATATTGGTACACAGGAAGTCCAGGAATGTGGAGGAATGGAATCAATACACTTGAGCTAGAGAGAGTGTGGAGACAGTGTTCCCATGGGAGAATGGATAATTGGTACATAAACTCTGAATATTCTTGAAAGATACAGCAAGGCCGTGAGAGGCCCGAGGAAGCTTAAGCAAGCAAGATAAGAAGCAGCTGGAATTGACTGAGTTATGAGAACTGTGGACTGTTGGCAAGCTTTTGAGGTCAAGTTCCTACACCTGTGCTTAACCAATTATATGCTAGTTGCAAAGGGTCTTCAAGACATGTATCCAATCTGAATATGCCAAATCACTGTAAGTGCATGTAAGAAATAGTATTTAAGGGGTTAAGGCTTTGTAATAAACGGCTTTTGTCTGATCATGCTGATCTCTGACTGAGTCCATGCATTTTCTGCGGCAAATGGCGCCCGAACAGGGACCCCCCCCCCCGTATTTTTCATATTGAAACTGAAGGAATTAAAGCGCGTGGCACCGAAGGAAGTGGAAAACACGGAGCCACAGGGACGTCGGCTGGGTTCGATCCGGCAGGACCAGGATCGGGAGGTAGTCGCCTCGGAACGGAGCCTAGTGAGCCCGGAAGACACTGCGCAGTGCAAATAAG